AGGGGAAGCAGAGGGGAACTCGCCCGGTCGCTGGAAAATAATGGGAGTCGAGGGGCGTGGGAGATGCAATTTGGGCAATACGGAACTCGACTCCAGCAGTGAATCCTCGATGTGACGTCATCGTCGTCGTCGATTTTGGGGCTGCGAAGCGGGTGGCGCAATTTCGAACGAGCGGCTGCGATAGCGAAATTCTCCAACGAACATCTTGAATAAACGGAAGTGAAACATTTACCGTCGACCTGAATCCCTTTCGATACTCGATATATTGTCCCATGCGCTATCTCTTTTCCTGGTCGAGTCGTCGCTCACCTCGGCAACAAATATTTTTGGTCGGGTTTTTAGTACCGGATGGGAGTTGCGGCAGATATGGTATTCGGCGCAAATTGGAGGATTAACGCAGGAAAAAGCTCGTCCGTACAAACGATGGCGTTGGCAGGTGGCGAGGGTGGCGCTATAACGGGAGCGATCCCGTTACGAGCTCGCGGAAATTCGCTTCCAGGAATCAGTCGGCGACGAGCGAGGTCGCCGTCGTTTCTACGCGCCTGAAAAAATGATGAGAAAAATAAAATTAGGGATGGAATTCTGACCTCGGAGAGACTTGTTGACGTGAATGGGGGCGTCGTCCTCCCTCCGCCAGGAGATGTTCGGCGGGGGCTTCCCCTGCCCCGCGCAGAGGAGGATGGCCTCGCTGTGCTCCACGACCTGCAGCCTGGAGGGGGAGCTCGCCTCGTCGGAGATCTCGGGAGGGACTGAAGGGGGGAGAGGTCAGTCGGTCGAGTGGCCGAGACGCTGGCGGGTGTGTTTCACGCGCGTTCGTGTCGGTTTGACGCGCGTTCGTGTCGGTCGGACGCGTGGCTACGTTCATATCGGTTGTGTTTGACGCGGGTTCGGCGTTCGCGAATTTCCGGGTCTGTGGCGGCGGAGATTTAGATTGGAGCGGGGGTCGGGAACCTTTTTGGCCGCGTGAGCCCGTATTAAGATTGAAGGCCCTGTATGCGAAAGATTTTCAGAACAGAATTTCTCCTGAGGTTGGCAGCTGACGCATGCGTTCTTCGATACGTGAGGAAAACGAGGAGCGACCGCGATTCTCAGCCACGACTCGACGAACCCAACTTTTTACGGCTCGGGCGCCAAATTCGTCTCCTGACCCATCGATCCCCCTTTGTGCCAGAGGAAAACGTCCGAGAACCGCGAAACGTTTCCTGGGCTTCGAGTCGGAAAGAACCGGGAAACGAACGCCGAGGGAAATTTTCGAAAGAGGAAATCGTGACCGACGTCGAGGTGGAAATTCTAACGGAAAACCGAAGCGAAAACGCAGTGAGTCGTTTTAATCTCATTTACTGCTCAGTTCGCCGCTCAAATACATTTTTAGGTAGGAATTTTTTAAACATTGATCTACAAAGAGCCGATTTGGCAACACTGCTTGTAACCGCGCTCGATCGAAAGCATCATTCGGATTTTCGCGAATCGCGATCGCCGCGAACGCGAGAGAAGGGAGGAACCCTTTCAGACGTTCACTCGACCGGCGCTAGATGTCTCTGAGGTTGACACCTCATCCGCATTTTCACCCAGAAGGGTGATCGAAGGGTGATCGACGGGTGATCGACGTCCTCGCCCGCGTTTTCCCCTGAAATTCGTAATCCGCCTCGGGAGGGCAGGCCTCGAGGCCTTGGGACGGAAAGCGCGCAGTCGAGAGAATCCTCCGCGGTGGAATGGCTGCGTCATCCCGGGAAGGAAAGGCGGAAGAATGGAGGTTCGGGGAAGTGTCGGGGAACGTCATCCGCTTCTCTGCGTCCCTTCTCCTTTTGCGTCCCTTCTACGCGTTTTGCTGTTGGCAACAGTCGCTCTCCGTCTTCTGCCGTGTTTCGATCCTCTGCCGTGTTTCGATCCTCTGCCGTGTTTCGATCGTCGTTTGCAGCGATGGTGGGGAGATTGCTTTCGGGGGTGGTCGTCGTCTGCGTCGTGCAACTCGTCCAGGCGCAGGTCAGCTCGTCGTTTCGATTTCGCGCGAGTGTTAAATTTTTTTTTCGTTCTCGAGATGAAATCTCGTGTCGCTCACGAAATCTCACGTCGCTCACGAAATGAAAGCTCTTTTGTCTTTCGCGCAGATGTCGGAGTTCGACCTGATCGAGGAGCCGTCGCGTCAAGTGATCAATTCGCCCTGGGGCTTCATCCGATACGTCGGGTCCATCGTGTATTACGTCTACACGTATTTTCTCTCCTTCTTCTTTCACAACACGTGAGGAACGGAAGGCGGAATAAAAGGCGGCTCACCGAGGACGTGAAGGAGGCCGCGCTGCTTCATCATCGGCTCCGTGTTCAATTGGCACATGTAATAGCCCTGATCGGATTCCTGGACGTTGTGGACGTGGAGCCGCCAGACGGTCCGGTCGTGGGAGTGGGTCGTGCCGAAGCGGGGGATCTTCGTCGCCACCACGTCGTCCACGACCAGGACCATCTGGCGGCCTTCGTGGGCCCAGGCGACCTGAAACACATTTTTTTGGGGGGGGTGGGAAGTGTGCGAGTTTTCTCTCTCTCGTTTAAAAAATGCTAAAATTAATTTTTTTTTAATTGAAAACTTTTTATGTTTTGCGCCGGATTTGCGGAGGAAAAAGGGAGGTACCTTGTATTTGCCGACGTTGTCGATGACGCAGCAGAAGGTGGTATTCCTTCCCTTCACCACCGTCTGATTCCCCAGCGGTTGAGCAAACCTCGGCCTTTCTTCCTCGTCATCGTCTCGCCTCGAATCTGCACGATTCGATTTTGCACACACCACCAGCGAGAAGAACCGGCACGGAGCCGGCACGGAACCGGCACGAAACCGGCACGGAATTTGGACTCACGTGAGGGGCGATAGAGGAGAAGAACGAGAGGAAGGAATAAATGCCAACGGCAACAAGATCGCATGATCGACAAGGAGAAGCGGGAATCCGCGACTGTCCCCCGTCTGGGCGATCGACGAGGGTTCCTCCCGTGAGGGTTCCGCGCCTTCCTCGGAGGATTCCTCCCTTTTTTCTGCGCGCGCTCCCGGCCGCTTCTGTCTCCCTCCTTGATAATTTCTCTAATTTTTTCAAAATTTCTACGAATTAGATTTTCCGTCGGTGTTAGTTGAAGGAGCCTGAGTATTGCCAAATTTTCCGGCCAAAACACGCCAAAATTTGCGGAGATCATTTAAATGACAGCCAAAATGAGAATTTACTCGCGCCTTCTTCCCTTCTCAAAGCGCGAACGAGAGAGAAAAAGAATCGCTGGAGTTGCCCGGCGGAAAGTTTCGCACGGGGCCGACGGGAATAAATCCGGCAATTTTCCTGCCAAACTCGGGCGAAGGATAGCGCAAAGGACAAAAAAAAGGACACCGACGGAGACGGAGACGGATGCGATTAAAGGGCAAGGACCATCCTTCACCGTGTCAATTACAATCCGCTAATCGGTTTACCGTCCCCGCCCCCATTTACCAACGGAAAGGTGCATGCAATCCGTGACACCCCGGGACACCCGGGACATTCTGGGACACCCCGGGACATTTTGGGACACCCTGGGACACCCCGGGACATTCCGGGACGTCGAGGGGTCCCGCTCGAGGCGAAGAAGAGGAATGAAGGACCGTCATTACCATATCTTCCGAGGCACTCTGTTAATTATCAAAGGACATGCTAATCATCCTTCTTCCATCTTCCACTCAACCCGGGCGGAATAATTCCTGAACGCCCCCCATTGCCCCCCCTTGCCCCCCCTCGCCCCCCGTCCGTGTAATCGATGTGGAAATGGAAAAGTCATCCAGCGTTCGCGCTCGCAAGGAACGAAAAGGAAAGAGGAAAAAAGGGCGAAAATAGGTTGAAAGGGTGAGGGATATCTTAAAAGAGTTTTCATTACGTGTGTAATGAACTAATGGGCTTCCCGTGTCTTCAGGTCCTTAACACCCGACCCCAACTTCATCTTTCTCCGAGAGCAAAGTTCCCCCCCTGTCCCCTTGCCCCTCTGCCCCCCCTGTCCCCTTGCCCCCCCTGCCCCCCTGCCTTCCCTGCCCC